ATATAATTTTCTAGAAGTATTTACCATGTTTCCTATAATAAAAGAAGCCTTGATTAGCAGAAGCTTCTTTAAAAACATTTACAAATCTTACCAGCTCCAACTTTTCTACTGTAAACTGGTAGAATCTCTCTGATGTAACAAATTAGATTAAAACCTATTCAGAGAATTAACTTCATGGCTAATGATATGATGTGTGATATTTTGCAAGCAGACCGCAGGCACTTTGCTCACAGTGGGAGATGAGTGTTTGATAGCATTACATTGACTTTTAAACGCATGCCTGGTGAGAGGGAGAGCTGGTCCTTTAATTCCATTATAAATGCCGTCTGTTTCACACCGAGCAGTTGCCCGTGCACGGGCGCAAACGTAATAAATGACACTGACGCACATTAAAAGCCACCCTTCGACCTACACATCCACAAAAGATTTAATGTCATGTAAACAGAGACGACACACTCAACCACTCATGCTGATGTACTGCTCCTAATCAGATGATTGTGGATGAGTGTTCAGCAAATGAGGTGAGCCACATATCCTCATCACTTTTAGTATTTACATCACACATTACTGCTTTTTTATCCCCCACATGCATTACAGCAACATTAATTCACCCTCCGTAAGGTCTCTGACCTCGTTTTTTTGTCAAAAAGAGATGATCAGTTTCAGACATGGCTGAGATAGTCATTAAATAAATAACTAAATGAATGATAAGTGAACGTGTGTTGGGATTTTTCTGATGTCAGAGGGCGGGGTTGATGAAAGTGGGTGTGGCTCTGCTGCATTCTTGTCATCCTGCTGAAATGTATGCTAGAGGATTCTTGCTGCACCATTTTTCACTTCTCGCTCTCTAATTCAATCCTCCCTCAGAAGCCGTTTCAGTGTTGTTTCCATGGCAACAACACCAAGGCCCCTCCTGGTGAGGTGGCACACTGTTTGGCTTTCTCTTTGCTTTCATTCACTGAATTTCTGTTTTTTTTTTTCTCAGAATTCTCTTATTTTGATATTTAAAGTATTATATTATTATGCATAATATAGATACTATATAGATTATATATTTTAGAAGTGCATCAATTCTGAGATTTTCACAATTTTTAACACCTGATGGCGCTCTAGGCTAGTTTTATAACCACCCTCTTAAGGCTGATTTATAGTTCTGCAATAAGTGATTGGTGTGACCCATGGTACAATCCTTGTGTGTAGTTTTGAATTTATACTTCTGCGTAAGGTTTTTGTTGCTCTGCAATAACACTTCCAAAACGCTAGCTGGCGGTAGGTTTTTTTTTTGTTTCTCTGTCTCGTTTCTTCACGGGTGTTTTTTTTTTTTCTGAACACTACAAGTAGCTAAAACTTGCTCATTCAGCGTTGGGAACATGAGGTAAACGCAAAGCAAAAGTTCCCATCTGGAGATCCTTAACAGGGCGCTCAACACTTGTAAACCATCACTCCAACGGGCTCCCGGCTCTCAGCACCGCCCACGCTTGTCACTGCTACCAAGCGACCAATCACAGACCTTGCGCTATGCAGAAGTATAAGTCAGCCTTTTCCTGCAAAAAACTAATAGGAAGAGTGCATCTGCATCAATGTAAGTTATGTAAGTTGGCTGTTATGTCACAATAGTATTGTAAACACAGCTTACTTTGAACACTGTTGTAATTTTTTAATATATGTTTTAGGTTCAGGTGGTATGTGTAAGGAATTGGATGCAAGAAGAGTATGGCTGCTTGTAAAGCATACAGCGCCATCTACTGTGAAAAACTAAGCTCAAAATCCATTCAAGAAAGAATAGTGTTGCATTTTGAATATCTCAGAATTAATGCAGAATCAATTTTTTCGAAAGTTTTAACCACAGGCCTATTTTTGTGTCAGTCTGTTTTTTTTTTCACTTTGTTACTTTCTATGTTTCAAAACATTCCAATATAGTTATTCATTTTTAATTGTTGTGGTTAAGTAACCAATAGCTAAATGAAAATAAGAAATGTTACCCACCAAATAAAATAAGTTAAGTGTTTACTTTTATATATTCTGTAATTTCCTGTAGGAAACGTTTTTCGTTTTAATTGCTTGAGTTTTAGTTAGTTTCTTGTTCTGAATTACATTAATTCCAATATTTTTTTTTTATAAGTTTTTGAATGGACAATTAACAGTTTTGTCTTACATTCACGCTTTACCAGGCATAACGCTACAATGTTAAATTAAATATCATATTGCTTAACCACATGTAAAGGACATTTTTACTGCAGAATTAATCCCAACAGGTTTATAATAGAAGTTTTTACTAACTGATTCAAAGATCATTTTATTATATTTTATTAAGCATCAAACATTTTCTGATTGGCTGAGATTCATGTAAAGTGAATGCAACACTGTATGTAGTTGTTGTTTTTATTTTTTTTTATATCATGTCAGGTTAGGATGTGCTGTTCTTGGCATCAGTTTCTTTGTCTCAAATTCTACATCTATTTAATTAAGCAGCTTATTTGGGAATCGTTGATGTATCCCAAGTCAGCTGCATGCACAAACTGCTAACAATTCTGGGTTGTTTTCTTTGGTTTAAATTTAAAATAATCTAACCATTAATTTGAAAAATAGATTAAAAAAAATAAAATCTAAATTGTTTACCCATTTTTACATAATTGTTGTATATTTTGGTTTAAACAGCTCACCATTCACCATTCCACGTTCCAGAACAAGGCTCTGTCAACATCAAGGTCTTTGATTCCCAGTGACATTACTGATAAAATGCATATCATGAATTCTTTGAAAATTGGTTACCTGCGGGGGAAATGTGTGTCGAATACATAAATGGTTCTTACATTCAGCCATGATGAACTGTCCAGTGTTTTTGCTGTCTGATGTGTCCTTTTGATTTTCCCAAAACACACAGACAGATATTCTCTCTCTCTCTCTCTCTCTCTCTCTCTCTCTCTCTCTCTCTCTCTCTCTCTCTCTCTCTCTCTCTCGCTCTCTCTCTCTCCGTTCACTCATGCTTTTATTACTTACACTTCACAGTCCAGCCGAGTGCTCAAGGGAGAGAGGATTACAGGCCTGTGTCTCTGCTGTTTCACTCATCTCTACTGCTTTATTCATGAGCAGACAGAGACTCAAGGAAGACAGATTGAAAGAGAGAGTGAATTTTTCATTGCAGTGCGATCTGTTATTGAACTGGTGTGTAATTAGATTAGAAAAACACTGCCGGTCTAAATGCCTCACCTCACTGACAAAGAAATATACATCTAGTCTGTTTTGTTTCTATAATTATGAAATATTCCGATGGTAGGATGCTATATATAATGTAGTGATTAATTAGAAAAAGAGTGGAGGTTATAAAGTTTTAAAGTATTTTTTATAGAGATAGAGAGTGAAAGTGAGGATTTGGGGGAAGAAAACTTTGTATTGCAGTGGAATATTTCATAGAGTGGTGTTTATTAAATGGTGAATAATGCATTTAGAAAAACTAAAGACTTAAAAAAAGCCTCTTCTTATGAGATTAGTCGCATTACAAATGTTAAGCATCTAAATGTTTTACAGACAGTTTTGTAATATTGTATAGAATGCCAAAATGGTATATATATATATATATATATATATATATATATATATATATATATATATATATATATATATATATATATATATACACACACACACACACACACACACACACACAATATAAATGGTATATCATTTTCATCATATCATTCATTCATTTTCTTGTCGTCTTAGTCCCTTTTAAGAAGCCACCACTACAGGCTTTAGTGTCACATGATGCTTTTGGAAACATTTTTTTATTATTAACTCGTAAAATTGTTGTGCTGCTTAAAATATTTGAGAAAACCTGTATGCTTTCTATTTCAAGGATTATTTATTGAATTGTGTTCAAAGTAACATTATATATTCTTTTCAATACAAATCCTTCATAACATTCTTGACTGTCGATTTTGACCAATTTGCTTCAAAATACTTTCTATTCAAAAACAACACAAATACTGAATGGTATGGCAGTGTAGGTTTGTTGATATTTTCTGTGGAGTCAATCTAGAGCCATATATACTTGCAAAATAAAAGAAAGTTTGCAAACAAAAAAATTAAGTATTGAGCAAAGTAATTAAATACATAAATGCAAATCTCCAAAAATCACAAACTGAAAATTATTTTTTGAAAAAAATATAAATTAATTTTGCTAACAAAAATTAAAAACTGCAAAGAGATAATAAAGTTTTGGAAAATAAAAATGAAATTGGCAATCAAAAAAAGAACTGCAAATAAAAAAGCAGTGCAAAAAAAAACTAAAATGTTTACAATTAAAAAAAAGAAACTATTTATTTGCAATACATTCTTTATACTGCCTTTACAAAACCCGTCCAGTGAATTGCAATGCAGATTTGCATTTATTTATTGATTTTTGCTAAATCCTTTTATTTTGCAAATATACATGGCCCTAGATTTAAGATTGCATTTTGCTTTTCAGACCAACATTAATAGGCACACATGAATTCAGAAACACACACACACACACACACACACGTGACATGACAACAGTGCTCTTTTTTATGTCCCATTAGCAGCAAACTCGTTCACTTTAGTTGCAAGGTGAAGTTGACTGTGAGCCCAGGTTACTGAACCATTGCGCTTGCATTAGACTGTGTGATGCCAGTGCAGTGCCTGTCTTTATTAGAGTCTGTTTGTGGTCATCAGTGCTCTGTAAACAACAGCAGACCAGTAGGTAGACTTAATTATTTCAGACGTCTATAAAACACTGCAATCGGAAATATGACTGATTAATTAATTAGATGTAATTGAATTCAATATAGGTTCACTGAAACATGTATTACACAAACTAGCACTACCGAAAAAGTTGCCTCAATGGTCGTTGATGTATTATTTGTCATTTGATTATCAGTTTCTTCAAACTTCAGATTTAAAAATGGTACTATTAAAAAGGCTGAGAATGAACTGGCTGACTTATGTTCTAACAGATCTCTCTGTCTGTATCTTAACAGTAGTCAGTCATGCCGCTGGTAAAGAGGAGTATCGAGCCCAAGCACCTGTGTCGAGGGGCTCTTCCTGATGGAGTCCCCAGTGAACTGGAGTGCGTCACCAACAGCACACTGGCAGCCATCATTAAACAACTGGGCAGCCTGAGTGAGTACTCTGCACCCTGCTTTTCTCTTCTGTCATTGTTTAATTTTAAATAATTTTAGGTCTGTCAAAACAGGTCCCATTTTTATTTACCTCACCATGTACTCCTAGTGAAAATTGTGTCAGGGGCTGAGGAGTGTGCTCCCTTTTTTTAATGTAAGAACTGCTGCAAATTGTGCGAGGCTTTCAGTGTTATGCACTTTTAGTTATTTGAGCTGTACTAAAAAAGGTATGCTGGTGAACTATTACTATATATACTATTAGCCCCTTTTACACATACAGACCTTTTCAGAAAATTATTGGCATTTTTCCGGGCTGGTTTGTACGTGTAAACTGGCCAGTAAAAACCAATAATAAACTAATTACCAGTAAATTTGTTCTGGGAATTTTCTGCAAAGAGAAGTTGTAACATTATCTGGAACACATCAGTAAACAGCACATCAGTGCTGTTTGTATATATATATATATATATATATATATATATATATATATATATATATATATATATATATATATATATATATGTGTATCTATATATCTATATATATATATATCTATATATCTATAGATATATATATATATATATTTATATATATATATATATATATTTATATATATTTATATATATATATGTATGTGTGTGTGTATATATATATATATATATATATATATATATATATATATATATATATATATATATATATATATATATATATATATATATACCTTTTATATATATCTTTTATCTGTTACTCTTTAATAAATGATCTAATACTGCAATAGAACTATTGCAGTTACACACATTGCGGTATAGATGCTCAAGCGATAAATATTTCAGTCCTAATATACAGGTATGTAAATCTTTTGATGACACATTAAATGACTCTATTTAAGGATAAAAGTGTCATTTTACATTTTTATCTTTGCCACTTTTCTTCAAATAAGCTTTTACTAAATGTCAGCCAATCATTTAAATAATATAAAAAGTATTCAGTAACTAGCATGTTGTTAATCTCTATATTAATGTTAGTTATACATAAAAATGTATAATTTCATATGTATTGACTTTTTAATTTGTTTGTTTTTTCAGAAAAAAAATAAGTACACATTATGGGCTATATTTTAAACATCTGGGTGCAAAGTCTAAAGCGAATGGCACTAAAGCATTAGGGCCGTGTCCAAATCCACTTTTCATATTTTAAGGATGAAAAAATACACTCTGTGCCGCGGCGCATGGCTTAACAGGGTTGTGCTTATTCTCTTAATGACTTATTGGTGTGTTTTGAGCATAACATGGATTAAACATGGATTAAAAAGTCTTATCTCACATTCTCTTTAAGAGTCAGTTGGGTCAGTTGCGTACATATTTAAATTTGTTTGTTAAGCGCACAGATTTGTCACAAAATTATTTCTAAATTCAGTTCTAATTTCTAGCAAACAAATAATTGATCAATAATAATGAAGTGTGGTCAAAAAATGGAGATTATATCCAAACAAATGTCCTATTCTATTGCCCCATATAATGATACATACTGTACATCTCCAAAACCCAACAGGTGGAAAAATCTAAACTTGTTTTAATTAAAAAATGTATAAATATGAGTATAATAAATACTAAAATTATGTCGAGGGAGCTGTCGTGGACACCGCCCTCTCTATTCTGCCACCCTAGACACGGATATAACTAAGGGCGCGGGTGGTGAGGGTAGTGTCGCCAACGCCGCCCTCTCTATTCTGCCGCCCTAGAAGTGGATATAACTTAGGACGCGGGTGGTGAGGGTGGTGTCGCGGACGCCACCCTAGACGCAGATATAACTGAGGACGCGAGAGGTGAGGGTAGTGTCAGGAACGGTGCACTCTCTATTCTGCCGCCTAGGTCTCCTCTATGGACGCGCCAGCCCTGATTGTAATACATTGCTGTGCTTTTCCATCAATTATACAAAAAACAAAACCATCATGAAAATTCAGCTCATTTTTTCAGCATGGCTTTTTTCTTAGCTTCTGTCTCCATCCATTTTGCAGGCCGACACGCGGAGGACATCTTTGGAGAGCTGTTTAATGAAGCCAACAGTTTCTACATGCGTATGAATAACCTGCAGGAGAGAGTGGACCTGCTGGCCATCAAAGTCACCCAGCTGGACTCCACTGTGGAAGAGGGTAACATCAATAATCTCTCCATCATCTCCAGATCTTATCAAAGCTTTGAGCTGTAGCAGGTAGCAGCAACAGAGAGCCTTTGCCTTCCAGTGCTGTCCTCTATAATGGTCTTCTTTTAGCCTGTAGTTAAAGGGATGACCCAGCTTTCTCTGTCATGAAAGAGAGAGACATCAGACTGTATTACTTTACTCCTCCCTCTTCTCCTCTCATCTCTTGCTTTTGTTCTTCTCTCAGCGGAATTGAAAAATCCAGTGGCCAGTGGCACCGTTTTCTTGTCTGGATTAATGAAACAGATAGCAGAGCTCATCGTGGCTCTGGCCATGTTTATAACTTGTATTAAAATACATTGTGGTTATTCGGATCACAAGTAGACGAGGGAAACGTATTACTATTTAGCAGCATTATTGCAGTTTATATACTTTACATTAGTACAAACCAGTACAGATTGCTGGAAAACAGCCACACACACACACACACACACACACACACACACACACACACACACACACATATATATATATATATATATATATATATATATATATATATATATATATAATACATTATATTTCAACACATTTCTAAACAATAGTTCGAATTTCTAATAACTGATTTCTTTTGTCGTTTCCGTGATGACGGAACATTTAGATTTTACTAGATATTTTTCAGGATTGTAAGATTCAGCTTAAAGTGCCATTTAAAGGTTTAACTAGGTTAAAAAGGTTAATTAATTAAGTTAGGGTTATTAGGCTAACCATTTTATAGCAGACAATTGTTATAACAGACAAAAAAATATTGCTTAAGGGGCTAATAATTTTGACCTTAAAATGTTTTTTTTATTATTATTAAAAACTGCTTTTAGTCTATTTAAAATAAATCAAAGAAGACTTTCTCCAGAATAAAAAATATTTAATATAGTATATACTGTTAAAAAAAATCCTTGCTCTGTTAAACATAATTTCATTTATTTTTTAAATATTTGAAAAAGAAAAGAAAAAATTTGCAGGAAGGCTAATCATTTTGACTTTAACTATATACAGTTAAGCCCAAAATATTTTGGGCCAAATTTCAAGCTTGACAATGTCTGTGTGATTTTAGGAATTTCGTTTGGGTTGGATAAATAAATTAATTAATTAATATTTAAATGGAAATTAACATAATTATTAGCCCCCCTGAATTATTGTTTTTAAAAAAAATTAAAATCTGCTTTTATTCTAGCTGAATTAAAACAAATAAGACTTTCTCAATAAGAAAAAAAATATTATCAGACATACTTTGAAAATTTCCTTGCTGTGTTAAACATCATTTAGGAAATATTTAAAAAATAAAACAAAAAAATCGAAAGGGGGCTAATTATTCTGACTTCAACTGTATGTGTTCATAAATAAAAATTTCTGATAGTTCTGATAGTGATAGACTGATAGCGTCAATGCTTTTACTGCGAAATAAACAGTAAATAATCTGTTACATATATTTACTGGGTCACATGTTAAAGCAGTAGAAAACAATGAAATATACTTTGAATTGAGTAATGCAAGTAAAAATATTATATATTTTATAGTATAAAAATTATTTTATTTCTTAAAATTTTTCTTTATGAGGTCATAATACAGCATTGATACAATTTTAGCAGTTATATAAATTATCGTCACCTTTTAAACTCATTTAGAAGTTTAAACACATTTTTAGTATAGCGAAAGTAATTATTCATTCATTCATTCATTTTTTTTTCCTTTTGGCTTTAGTAAAGTCCCTTATACTTATAAGTCCCTTATTTATCATAGATTGCCACAGGAGAATGGACCGCCAACTAAACTGGCATATGTTTATGCAGCGGACCCCGTCCAGCCACAACCGAGTACTGAGAAACAACCACACACTCTTGCATTCACACAGACACACTCATACACTATGGCCAATTCAGTTTATTATATCTCCTCATACACCACCACTGTGCAGCATCTACCTGGATGACACGACGGCAGCCATTTTGCGCCAGACCGCACACCACACACCAGCTGATTGGTGCAGAGGAGACAGTGAGCAAATTTGGCCAGGATGCCGGGGTAAAACCCCTACTCTTTTTCGAAGGACATTCTGGGATTTTTATAGACCACAGAGAGTCAGAACCTCAGTTTAATGTCTCCCAGGCGTTCACTGAGCAGTATAGAGTCCCCGTAACTATACTGGGGCATTAGGACCCACACAGACCACAGGTTGAGTGCCCCTTGCTGGCCTCACTAACACCACTTCTGGTAGCAACCTAGCTTTCCCATCCAGCTAGCTGGTCTCCCATCCAGGTACTGACCGGGCACAGCCCTGTTTAGCGTCAGTGGGTGACCATGTGAAAGTTGGAGAGAGTTAGCTGCCAGCTTTATATAGTCATGTGAGATTTAAAGATTTTAATCCTGGATTTATTAAGTCACTAAATTAATTATAAGATGTATTCACATGCAAAAGGACTACGCAAAATGATACAGAGACATTTGCTTTTTAATTTTTTTTTCCTCTTCAAACCAAAACAAACAATTTAAAACGACAAGAGTTTAAATGCGGTGTGGTCAGTGCTTTTTGAAAGCATGTCCCACAATGCATCAAATTGTTAGTACGCAAAATAAAGATGCATGTTGTAGTGAAGTCTTCATCTATTTAAAACATCCAGCCAGGCTGAGATCGATAACTAGAGAGCCGGTAAAGAGAGTTTAATATGTTCCAGCTCCCCTGTGACCCCTCACTTACGGAGAAGAAACATTGATGTTTCTCTTAAAGTCTGTGCATTCCATTATCACCTGATTCACGGTGAGCGATGACCTCTCAGCAACATTGTGCTCAAAGAAGGCCTTCTGGGAATGCACAGACACAGCCCGCATATATGTGTGTGTTTATGGCTCTCTAATGTCTGACCTGATGGTGATCTGGGGTTTATGTGTGCTGCATATCCAATGAAAGCTTGGGGAGGGAAAAGAGCAGCGTAGAAGAAGATGCTTTCTGAATAGCAAGACATCTTACTGAAAGGAAGAGACACAACATTGTCTGAGGGAGCGAGCGAGCAAGCATCTGTATGTGTCTGAATTTATATGAGAGATCTGCTGTTGCTTTGTTTACCAAACAAATTCTAATTGGGTTTTGATTCTAAACTTTAATTAAGTTATTTTATGTGTTAGCTCCTACACTCTCAAAATCATTCCACATAAATCAGCAGATTTTATTATTATTATTTATTATTATTCAATTTCTTTTCGGCTTAGTCCCTTTATTTATCCGGGGTGACCACACCGGAATGAATTGGCAACTTATCCAGCATACAGTATGTCTTATGCAGCAACACATCATTGGAAAACATCCATACACACACATTCACACACATACACAACGAAAAATTTTAGCTTACCCAATTCACCTGTACCACATGTATTTGGACTGTGGGAAACCGGAGCACCCAGAGAAAACCCACGCAAACACTGGGAGAACATGCAAACTCTACACAGAAATGCCAACTGACCCAGCCGAGGCTCGAACTAGTGACCTTCTTGGTGTGAGACGAACGTGCTACCCACTGCGCAACCATGCAGACTAATTATTATTTATTTATTTTTTAAATGTATTTTTTTAACAAAAATTTATGCTAAAATTGCAATAAGAGAGCAGGTTCTGTGTGGTCTTGCTCAGAAGTATTTTTTCTGTGTGCCTGTGTGTGTGCGTATGTGTACTGGTTTTGATGGTTTACAAGGACAGAAGTTTGTCTAATGACATGGGTATGACCTACAGTGCTTGATAGGTATGCACCGATACCATTTTTTTTTTATCCAATCCCAATACCAAAATTCTGAGTATTGATCGATACAGACCCGATCCCAATACTGTGCCGTTTTTTAAGCGTAATACAGTTTCTATAGTTCTGGTGATAAGCTCAAATAATAAATCTTTAGTAAAAATAACAGACCCATAGGCCTACTGTATATGACAGACGACACAATCTAACTAAAAACATGATGCTTGCTGTAAACTCTAGGCTACATTTTTTGAGCATTCTTTATGACTTTAATCTGTTGTGGTCCAACTTATACTTACTGTTGTGGTACCAGTTTTATTTAATAAACATTCCCTTTTCTGTTAATGACAATCTCTATTGTGCCCGTCAGTTTCATTCATGTTTCTTTTTATTTTAATCAACTACTTGGACCACAATGAGCCAGGCTTTACAAACTATTCGCTGCACTGAAAGTATTTCCCTCAGAAGAATAAACTCAGAAGGATGAGAGAATAGAAACTCATTGTAAGAATAATTTTAGAGCAACACAAGTCGCATCTGTGTAGCCAGTGCGTAAATGAAGCTCTTGATGCATCACTGAGACACAGCGCGCAGTCCTGTGGACGCTTTCAAAACTTAGCAGCACAAAGGGAAGATATTAGTGCATTGAGGATCTGTCCAGTATAATATTGAGTCTTTTCCCATTTAAAATTTCAGGTAGGCCTACTTTGTGTGTGTAGACCAAGTAATAACCCTCTCTATTCCAGTGTTGCGAATGCAATCTGCCAGACACAGCTGAACAAACTACACCAGCTAGACACAAACTAAATGCATTTCTCGACTGATTATTTATATTAACAGGAACAAATAGTCTTGGAGAAAGTTATTTGAGTTGTCATGAACGTGACACGCAGCTTGCGCTGAGCTGAACATGAAATTAACCACTTGAATTTTCATCTGTGCTTTAAATTAAACTACAGAATGGCTTCAGAACATTTGGTATATAGTAGGCCTATATGATAACTTTCCAGTGCCTTGTAATAGGCTATCTTCATGGCTTTTGTTGTCTCATATATTACACAGAATATAGCTCACACGCAAGATCGGATTTGGATCGGTACCAGCTGGCTGATACGCGATCCAGCAAAAATATGCGGTATCGAACCGATATCCAATCCAAGTATAGGGATCAGTGCATCCCTAGTGCTCAACATAATTAAGTACACCCCTCACAAATATCTCTTTTTAATTCATATTTTTAATAGGAAGCTATACAATATTATGTTTGTGCATATACAGTAGATTAGTCAGTATTGAAGCCAAATCTAGAGCTTATCTTACAAAATAACTCACGATAACAGTCCAAAAACTAGTACAGCCAAAAGTATATGTTATAGAAAAATATTAAATACAAATTTATAAAAGGAAAAATAGAGTTGACATTTTGTAGGGTGTAATTTGTTTTGTATTATTTTTCAGTTTCTAAATAAGTTTGGTGACTAAAATATTATTTTAATAAATATATCTGTTTAATAAATCTGTTTTGTTTAAATGCACTTAAATACATTGCTTATATTCACTGAGAAATGGATATAAATATTCATTTTCAAAATGGGGTGTACTTAATTATGCTAAGCACTGTATGTATTTCAACATTTAGGTAGTTTATGAGGACATGCACTGTGTCCTTGTAATTCAGGACACTCACAACAACAAAAAGCATAGTTAATGGGGTCTTTTGACATTCAAAATTTGTGACACTGTGTGTTTGGTTTTGGGGTACGGTGATAAAATAAGCATTTTTTACAGCATAAAAAAAATAATATGCCTGTCGAGAGTCCTTGTAAACCACTAATACCAATGTGTGTGTTAGCAAAAAGCATTGTGTGGCTTGCATTTATGGTAGTTTCTGGTGCAGAAATGTCATCCCATCCCCCTCTTTATGTCTGTTGTAATTATTTATTTATAGCCAGCCATCCAGACTTAAAACTGAGAATAATTTCTACTTGATCTAAATACCATGACAAAGGACAAAACTTGAAGTAATATTTGTAACAGATGAAGTCAGATTAGAGCGTCATGGTGGCACAGTGGGTAGCATGATCACCTCACAGCAAGTACAGTAGGTCGCTGGTTCGAGCCTCAGCTGGGTCAGTTGGCATTTCTGTGTGGAGTTTGCATGTTCTCCCCGTGTTTGTGTGGGTTTTCTCTGGGTGCTCCGGTTTCTCCCACAAGTCCAAGACATACGGTATAGGTGAATTGGGTAAGATAAATTGTCCATAGTGTATGAGTGTGTATGGATTGATTGGTTTCCCAGTGATAGGTTGCAGCTGAAAGGGCATCTGTTGCGTAAAACGTGCTGGATGAGTTAGCGGTTCATTCCACTGTGGTGACCCCAGATTAATAAAGGGACTAAGCCGAAAAGAAAATGAATGAATGAAGACAGATTATTGAGAGATTTAGAGCATTAAATAATTATTATATATCATATACACTATTATCTAAATGCAATTCCTTTGCATTTATTCTCCAATATTCTAAAGATGTAAAACTGAGCTGCTTTTTGTTTGGGATTCATTTTATAAATCATATGGGCCATTAAATGTCTGGTTTATCACATAGCCTAAAATAATAATAATAAAACAGAGCACACATTTCTATTATGTTTAGTAAAGATTAAAATGAAACAAATTTAATGTGTAAATAAATACTAAGTCTATATCTAATATGTAGAGACAAAAAAATTACATGCTGTCATATCAATAAGATTTGTTTGGTTTATGAAAAAACAAAATATAGACCTTTTCTGTAGGATAGGAAGCTTAAATGATTTCTGTGTTGATCTGGCTTTATAGAGAAAATACAGTTAAATAACTTTTATTGGGGACAAAGAAGCTGCTTGCATTAGCTGCATTGTTTAGCATAGTACTGTTATTTTCTCAGAAGTTGAAACACCTTGTTCTATAAGTTGTCCCAGGTTTGACCTCGCATACCCCATTCCTGCCATCAGATCAGGCAGTCTTGAATTATTAATGTTCAATAAAGTAGTACAGTGGGCCCCGAGGCACAGCCAGCGCTTTAATATTGTGAGTGTTCTTCTGTGGCATACATAATTAGAGGACGATTGAGGCACTTCATCATGCTTTACACCAAAACAGACCCGCCCCCTCAGTGACAGACTAACGGTTGTAAATTATTTATCTTATTGTTTTGGCCCTCAGCTAAAACGTTCATATTAACACAGTGACATAGATCGTTGTATGACGTCACTGGCATGCAGAATGTTCAAGAAATGTTTTTAGGTCATCATATTATTCTTTTTATTTAATGTTTTATCTTTAATTACCTTGCATTTATTTCAACATAATTATATGTTAGGATTTAATATGAATTACTATTTAATTTAAATTATTTTGTTATATAAATTACTAAAATATATTCAGAGACAAACTGCTAAATATTCTCCTTCATAAAAAAAATAAACAAATAAAAAACTATACTGTAAAGCACAAGCTCCTATTTACAAATGAACACCAGTTTCCATAGACTGCCTTTTTCTGAGCCGCTTTTTTGACGTTTTCACAAAGCTAACATTAGTCCTGTTGTGAATCTGCTGCTATGCTGACGTATAGGTGTTTGTAGCACTTTCGAATAAAGTGCTGGGTTACAATCTCATTTGAATATAAAACGACAGTTGCCAAAACGGCACATTTTGAATCAAAGCCTAAACAAGACAGCTTCAAAGAGTTATAAAAAGTGATTAGTTGTGTATTTTTAGCTGAAACTTCACATACACACTCCAGGGACATCAGTGACTTATTTTATATCTTGTAAAAAGAGGCATAATATGCACTGAAAAAAATTATTCAGAGATGATTGCTTGGATTTACTCAAATGTTTTACGTGGTACTTTTTTTTTGGAATTTATTTGTGTTGAATTTAAACAAACAAATTAAGTTGAACATTATTCAACTTAATTTGTTTAAATTCAACACAAATAAATTGTTTGCAACAGTTCTGCATGCAACACTTTTTTTCAGTGTGACTTCTGTAAAAGTGAGCTGTTATGTTGTATGTGTTTGTGGCATTTCAGATTAGTCCAGGGTGAGATGCAGAGCGTGTGAATAAGAGAATGACCATCTGCTGTCTCCATCCTCTCCTTCAGCAGACACATACGACACTTAAGCAGGGATTTCACACAGCTCTGCCTTAAGGCCCTTTACTCTTTATGTTCATCAAGAGACAGCTTGTCTTAGTCAAACCACAAGTTTAATCACCGTAAAGTAAACAATAAGCTGATCTCCGATTAGTGTCATTGGGTGTAATGGCCCTAAGTTCATGCATTCTCCATTTTTTGCATCTTAATATTGAATGCAGCGTTTGGTTCCTGTCAGATTTCTTGTCATTAGTATGCTTTTATTTGTTTTGCATATTTAAAGGTCCAGTGAATCTAAAATAATGTATTATAGATGTTAGTATCAGTATTTTTAGTACGGATATCTATAAGCTAGTGTGCTCCAAAACCTTGACAGCATTTTACATTTAGGAGATTAAGACTGAAATAAACGTCTAAAGATTATAGTTTGTCACTTCCACATAAATGGACCAATGGTTCAAATTCTCTTTATTTGATGTGCTTGAGCTTAACCACCCTCACTGGCAGAGCTGAGATAAAAACAAAATGCTAATGGCTGTTTTTAAAAAGGGAGGAGCTACTCTGTTTGAGTTGAAATTACGTAAAACATAGAATAAAAATGCACGGGACTTTTAAGTAAAATAAAACATGAATTAAATGCATAAATCTGAACAGTCTCTCTCTCACCCATCTTTAGTCTCTCTGCAAGACATCAACATGAGGAAGGCCTTCAAGAGCTCCACCATTCAGGATCAACAGGTGGTTTCCAGGAACTCAATCCCTAACCCTGTCCTGGAGCTTTACCACCGTGGAGACAAACCACCTCCTCTTAATATTCTCAGCCCATACAGGTAAGATGAGATCCACACCATCCTCAACTCGAAATATCTGTCAAATGACATTTAAAAGATAAACATATTGCTTAAAACAAAAGTAACAGCACCTCGTGTCCTGTACCCAGGCCCGGATTGGCTAATCGGGAGCACCGGGAGAATTCCCGGTGGGCTGGTCAGTTTTTTTGGCTGCAAGGGCCGGTGTCCCTAGCTGCTTGCACTCTCAGCAGTTGCACTCTTTTCTTTTATTTATTTATTTGACCATAGCCACACTATTTTTATTCATTATTTTGCCGCAGCCCCGCTCTTTTTATTTATTTTCTCGCAGCCCTGTGAGCAAAATGCAGCCCGCAGGTTAATGATGATGTAACTATCATTCCACCCCAAACAGCGGCACCTTAGTGAATATTAATTAATATTAATGAATGTTACACCTGCTCAATGAAAATCAAATAATTCACTACATTAATAAATCTAACTTAATCAGAAATCTAGTCTAGTGGTCAGCACGTTGCGCCGATCTGAGTTCGAACCTCATCAGAATAAATGTTTTTTTTTTTTTTTTTTTAGTGTTAAGACATATAATACTGTTTGGGCTACTTATGTAGGGGTACATATTTTGTGTGTGTGTGTGTGAGTGTGAGTGTGAGTGTGTGAGTGAGTGTGTGAGTGAGTGTGTGTGTGAGTGAGTGAGTGAGTGTGTGAGTGTGTGAGTGTGTGAGTGTGTGAGTGAGTGAGTGAGTGAGTGAGTGAGTGAGTGAGTGAGTGAGTGAGTGAGTGAGTGAGTGAGTGAGTGAGTGAGTGAGTGAGTGAGTGAGTGACGCTGACGACCGTTACAAAGGACTGGATATCTATAAAGAATTAATGTTCTCATATTTATCAAAAACATTTGAAGTTCTAAAGCAGCTGTGTCCTTGAAAAAGACGTGTTAGTGTCATTAGAAACTGAATTGGAAATAACGTTATTTTAATAGAGTCAGTCATTGACTGAGGTGGGCCGGTCTAAGGCTTGAAATTCCATAGCTAAAAAGGAGTCCCACTCCGGCCCTGCCTGTACCAACCTCTCTAGCATCATACAGTAACAGACGTTTAGCAGAATAGTATCTTTTTTTTTTACAACAAGCTCATTTAAAAGCTAGTAATGTTGCTGTGTTTAGGTGCACAAAATGTTTATTAGGAGCCAAGAATGAGTCTTTACTGAGAGGTGTGAGATGAAACATATTGCTCCATTATATCTATATAATATATATTATATATAACTGCACCTGACTATAAGTTATACCTGTCAAATTCCATTGATGATATACATAGGCGAGCAGTTTGAAAATGATTATTATTAGCATTAGGGGTATTATATATATTGACTATAATGGGCAGTCTAGGTTTTTCAATAGTTTGTGTACTACTTGGCTTAGTGAACCAAATTTATATATTTAAGTACATATAATTTACTAATCAACAATCTTTGTTTTCAATGCTTTTATTGACAATGATTGGATTCTGACCTACAGTAACCTGTGGTGTGATATTCAACTGACATGATTTTCAGAGACATCCTATATTTAATATAAAACATGATTTTATGTCATCATAAATGATATATATATTAATGTATTATTTCTTCTCGGCCATCTTATTTTTAAAGATCAGTGCAAACTATTTTTCACTCCTTTCTCGCTCACACTCTAGGCATGAGCCGGTATAAGATTCTGACAATATTATAACCTTGGATAAAAATATCACGGTATTGTGATTACTGCTTTAAAATATGTTCCTTTTAAATGTCTGGATAAAAAAAATAAAAAATTCCCCATTGAATGAAATACATTTCATTTTAAGAAATATTAAAAATATTTCAGAACAGTAGCTTTTGATGTGTATGGTCCTTTTCTGCTGGAGATACTGTTGCATTAATAAACTAAATAAAATAGTTGTAAAAAAAAACATGTAAATCAAAAACTTAAATATACCGTAGGAAAGGGGATAAACCTTGAAAGCGGTTATCATCTCATGCCTACCACACACAAATCTTGTTTTAGTGTCTTTTATTTCTTGTTACTTAACAACCAATTCTTTTACTGTATATTTTACATTAAGTACTTTTTTAGTTTTTGGTATTTATGATTTATAGTTTTATGTTTACACAAAATTTATGTTTGTGTTATAGTTAGTTATTTCAATAGATACAGTATATAAAAAAGAAGCTGAAAACTAGTTGCAGGTGGGAAATGCATTATGACTATACAAATACTCAAAAGAAGCATTTTGTTTTGCTTGTTTGATTGTAATTGCATACGTTTTGTTTTTTTTTTTAAGGCAGTATATTTCTAATAATAAAGAAAAATAATTTTATTTAGGGCAGGGAGCGATGCAGTGGTGCAGTATGTAGTGCTGTCGCCTCACAGCAAGAAGTTTGCTGGTTCGAGCCTCGGCTGGGTTAGTTGGCGTTTCTGTGTGGAGTTTGCATGTTCTCCTCGTGTTCGCGTGGGTTTCCTCTGGGTGCTCCAGTTTCCCCCACAGTCTAAAGAAATGCAGTACAGTTGAATTTGGTAAGCTAAATTGTCCATTGTATTTGTGTGTGGATGTTTCCCAGAGATGGGTTGCAGCTGGAAGGGCAACCGCTGCATAAAACCTGTGCTGGATAAGTTGCCGGTTTATTCCGCTGTGGTGACCCCAGATTAATAAAGGGACTAAGCCTAAAAAAATGAATGAATGAATGAATTCGGGGCAGAACAGAACGTTTTAATTAACTTAAAAAAGAAGACACATATGCCTTTTATTCACAAATTCTCTACATTTCAAATTAGCATATATCAATGTGGGTTTTTTTCTGTAAGCAAGTAAACAAGATGATTTTCCACATAATTTAGAAGCAAAAACTCCAGGCTGTAAGATCCAGTTCTCGAAGGTCTTGTGAACAAATATTGTGTTTTTTTTTCAGTAACCATGGATAAACATTTCTTTCTCAAAAACCCAATCTTGTACATGCATGTTGCTAATGTGTTATTGTAGCCCAGTGTATGCTGTCTACAGTGGTATTAGACTTTAGCCACTTATGTTCATAAGCAAGTGAAAAAAGCACAAATATCAGTGCACATCAGAACCTCTCCAGGCCTCCCACAACACCCGCAGACCCCAAAGGGTTTAAGCAAATCGATAAGTTAGAGATGAAGATATTTAGATTGCATGTTGTCTTTTCTGTTTTCCCTCCTTCAAATGGTCATCATAAACCAACTTAAGTCTGAACTCTCTTTATGTGTATCTCTTGTGTTTTGTGACAAAATGATAGATCACTTGCTTGCATTCACTCTCCTAAAACCCTAAACTCAATTTGTTACCAGAACTTGTCAACAGATTGACCCATTTTCTACCGCAACACTTCAACACAACTTCAGACACATTTGTAGCCACCAAACTCTCTCTTTCTTTCTACAGAGATGACAAGAAGGACGCGCTGAAGTTCTACACTGACCCCTCCTACTTCTTCATCCTCTGGAGAGAGAAAATGCTGCAAGCCACAGAGGACAAACGAAAAGAAAAGAGAAGACAGAAGGTGTGTGTTTCAAATTTCTACACTGTTCTTTCCACAGTCATATACCGCAAATGCAGAGATGTATAGTAACGAAGTAGAACTACTTCACTACTGTACTTAAGTACTAAAAGGCAGTATCTGTACTTTACTGGAGTATTATTTTTTTGTCCTACTTCCACTTTTACTTAAGTACATATTTTCCATGAGTTTAATACTTTTACTCCGATAGATTTTTTATGTGCTGCATCGTTACTCGTTACTAGGGGTGTCAAAATGATTGATATCAGTTCATTAATAGACCATAACCGGTTATTACGTGATGACGTCATTTATCTCCTATGCGCGATGCCGCAATACTATGGCGAAGGACGGAAGCGCGAGGGCGAGGCGGCACAGCATATCAGCCGCTAGTTTACTATTAGGGAGAATCTGCCTATCTCTCGCTCTCTCACTTTGGACATTTGACCCGCTGGCCAGTTTGTAAGGTAACTTTTCCCCTCTTCTTAGCTGTTAAAGCTGTGGATCCAGACATGAGCATGCCTAATGTGCAAGTTTTCTCCACTGTGTCTTATTACCTGTGAAAAATCACGTATTTTCCCCACAATGGGTGAACAGCGCTTATATTTCTAAAGCCCTTTCTGTTGAGGACAATAACCAATCATAGCCGTGTAAGACCCGCCTGTCAGCGCTCTAAAAGCAGGCGGGATAATATTGACATGAGTTTATTAGCTGTAAATGCTTGTGCTGTCTTCTGTGCATGAGTTTTGTTTGATACATCCAGAAAGAGTGTTTTCTTTGAGCAGGTCAAATTGAGGGCACAGTTCGTATATCTGACTGCTGTATTAAAGGACAAAATTGTATTACAAAAAACCCTTTAACTGTCACACCAAGACAAAAGCAATAGAATTTTTTTGATTGCATTTCTTAACTCCTAATGTCGCTAGTTAACACAATCAGTGCATTTTTATTCAACACATCACATTATTTCTAAAATATCAGCCTCTACCAAATGGTTGAGATGCTGGTTTATGGTAAATGTACCAGAATTAATAAATATACTACAGAAAATATGAACTGTAAGACCAATTTAATTAAAAACATAATAAAAATAAATAAAAATTATTACTAAATCATAGCCATAAGCCATACAATATTTCAGATTTTCATTTAACACAGTAATATGCACGTTTTCCTGTTTTTTTTTTTAAATAAAATCTAAATCAAGTGAATGAGTGAAGCAGGATTTAGTTTGCTTGTTTAGTTTAGTTTCACGAGTGCTTCCAGAAGACAGAACTCCTGTTTATTGTGGTATTAACCAATCAAACTTCAAAAGTCCCAAAGTGTGTGTCTTTGTGTGTGTGTGAGTGAGAGAAAATAATGTGTGCGTAAGAGAGAACAAAAGTGTGTGCATCTGTGTGTGTGTGTGTGTGTGTGTGTGTGTGTGTGTGTGTGTGTAAGAGAGAGAGAGTGTAAAAACAATTGCAACCTATGTAATGTCCCCACAATTCACAAAAATGTGTGTGTGAGAGAGAGATAGAGAGAGAACTGTGTGTGTGAGAGTGTATGAATGTGTGAGAGTGGGGAGAGAGTGTACATTTAGGTGTGTGCAGGGCAGTGTGTGTGTGTGTGTGTGTGTGTGTGTGTGTGTGAGAGAGAGAGAGAGAGAGAGAGAGTGTACATGTGAGTGAACATGCTGAATTATCTCATCAGTGAAGGCATTTTCTGGTAAAAGGGCCTGACGATGTGAGTTCCTGTACCATAGAAACTATTTACACTGGAAAACAGTATCATAAACCATGTTTCTTTTCGTTCTGCTAAATCAAGTACCCCAAAAAAGATATTTAAAATAAACAAAATAATTAGTGTATTAATAACTACATTACACAATACTTGTACTTTTACTTTCAGTACTTGAGTAGTAAATTTTGAAATAAACTACTTGCAATACTTAAGTACAAAAAATGTTGAATACTTTTGTACTTCCACTTAAGTATGGTGCTTAAAGAGCACTTCTACTTCTACTCAAGTCAATTTTTGATAAAGCACTTGTACTTTTACTTAAGTATGGGTCTCTAGTACTTTATACATCTCTGCGCAAATGTAACTGTACCATTAACGTTGCTGCAAATGTTACTAGCATGATTATTATTGATCTTCTCGATGAGTGCTAGAACATCCCATCGCTTCCATAACACCAGCAGGCCTCCAGTAAAACCGATTTAGGGCCTCTCTACAAACCAGAAGACTATATTCACATGCGAGAAGAGAGCAGAAAGAGACACGTCAGTGGACATGTCTTTAAAGGTTTGCATGAATAAGAGCTCTAACTCTCCCAGACTCTACCTTCTCTCCAGACCAGCGGCTCAGGCCAGACTCACTCAGACCAGACTAAGTCCCACTCCAGGCAGGCCCTTCTCAGAAGCCCCCTCCTGTCCTCCGTAAGACACCTGTATTTCTGTCAGTCCTTCTGTCTCCTCATCCGTCAATCCCTCACTATGCTGACTCCTGTTTCTGCATTCACTTTCTCTCCCGACAGTCTCTTCACTAGCTTTTCTACTGAGTGTGTGCATGTGTATGTTTAATGCATTGCCTGAATGATCTAGTAAACTTTCTTCGCAGCACTTTTCAGTGACTGATGCGGACACTTCAATCTCTGTGTGTATGTGTGTGTGACTTTACTCTTTTAGCTTCTCCCTTTCACCAAACGTGATTTTGTGATGAAACCCTGGGCTTTCTGCAACTGTGGGGTTTTTTTTCTGTTCGGCTCTCATTTTATTTGTCTTTCTCTCACTTAGGAGCAGCAGAAACAGGTGGAGGATCCCAGCCGTGAGGTGAAGAAGGTTCGCAAGGCTCGCAATCGTAGACAAGAGTGGAACGTAATGGCGTATGATAAGGAGTTTCGCCCAGATGCCCGCTTCACGCCTTCTCCATACCACGGCATGTCATCTGAGGGCTCACTGTCACCAGACAACAGGTTGCTGGCCGCATTTTATTTTGACTTTTGGAAATAGATGAGCATTAAAGCAAGCTGCTGTTTAGAAAAGCTCGCTACTGCCATCTGTTGACACTTTGAACTACCAACATCTGCATTCAAATTGACATACAGTACAAGAACACTCAGCCTATCTACTGTGCCTTATTTTATGCTGTTTTTTGTCACAAATGGACGTGTTATTGTTTCACAATTACGGTAGTAAGACACATATTTATGTCATAGATACATGACGAGAAAGATTTTCCACAAAAACATACACATACATAAGTTTAGGAAAGGTTTAGTGTGTTTGCTTTCATTCTGTGCAATTCACTGTAAATCAGTTTAATTAAAACAATTAATTAACTTTAAGTGACATTTCTTTTAGGGATGCTTGTTTCAGTTCATTTTGCCAACTGACAACCATCGCTTGTTAACTGAATATTAACCCTTAACTGGTCAGATCAATATTAAATTCTATGATATTATGATATATGATATTATTGATCGATCTATCTATCTATCTATCTATCTATCTATCTATCTATCTATCTATCTGTCTGTCTGTCTGTCTGTCTGTCTGTCTGTCTGTCTGTCTGTCTGTCTGTCATCTGGAATATACTGAACACTACCTTTATAAAGTTTTAGGTCAATAAGACCTTAAAGTAGTTTTTATTCAGCAAAGGCACTTTAAAATGATGAAAAAATGTATGCAAACAAATTCAGTTGTTCAAAGGTAAGACTAAAGATGTAATTTTCAAGCTCAATCTTCCATAAAGATATTTTTCATTTCTGTCTTCATTTTTTTTTTTTTTAAACATTTTTTTTTTACCTCTTTCTCTTTTTTGTTTTAAATGATCAGGTCAGTTGCGTCAGACATGGGTGAGCACTCTTACCCAGGTAGCCCGAGTCACCCAGCTCAGCAGATGGCAGTGAGCAGCGCTTATTCTGCTGCCGATGGCAAAGAACACCTCATGGCTCCCTCTCATGTCCAAACTCAGTCTCTGGACCGTGGCTACCGGCCTGCCCCTTCCTCCGCTGCTCCACCTGGAAGACAGACTATTGGCCGAGTTCAGACCTCCCATGGACAGCCAATCACAGACCCTGCTCTCAATGGGCCACGTCCACTGCAGACTAAAGACTACAGGTCTGGTCATTTGAACACCTATTAAAGGGATAGTTTACCCAAAAATGAAAATGTACTCACCCATTATTAGCTTCTCTTTTCAGTTTATTACAAGATATTTTGAAAATGGTAGCATTGACATCCATAGTAGGAAAAACAATACAATGGAAATCATTGGCTACGATTCTTCAAAATATCTTCTTCTGTGTTTAACAGAAAAGAGAAACTCAAACACATTTTAAAGTTTGAGTATATAATGACAGAATTTTCTTTTTGAGTGAACTGTTCTTTTGAGTATTTCCCTGTTTTCAGTATTCAGTATGTCTTGTGTAAATATCTAATAGAAAGTTTCAAAAGCATAGTTTCCCATAAAGGTCGAGTTGAACCTTTATAATTTTAATTGTTTACATGAATTTCTAAGGTTTAATTACAAAATTATATATAACCGTTCAGTGAACATAAAGAATATTGCATTTGATTAATGATTTAATAGTTTTATAAGAGTAGAATCCTATATATAAATATGTAAATTTTCCTATAAATATATAAATCCTATAAAAAAATTTATTAATATATTTTTAATCAGATTATTTTTATTTTTTCATGTCTGTTACTCTGAATGATGAAATCTCTGAAACTTTATCTTGAACCACCATGAGAGGTTTCGTAATGCTGGTTTAAATACTCGTTTCATTTCCTTACATATAATCTGGAAAATGTACAAAACGTGTATAGGATTTTGTTTAAAATTAAACTACTTACATGGTTCTAGCCAAGCACCCACAACAAAACTCAAGCCCTTTTTTACTCTACAGCATTTAAAGACACACAATTCCTCATGTTGATACTGCTCCTTCAATAGACATTTAACTGACTATAAGAAATTTACACTAATCCTAACCCCAACCTTACAGTCTACTTATAATTTAATGAGATTTAGTTGCAATGTAACTTAAATTCAACAAACTGACCATCAAAATAAAGTGTGAGCAGTGATATTTGTGTTTAATTATTGTATTTAGTAATTTATTGAATATATATATATATATATATATATATATATATATATATATATATATATATATATATATATATATATATATTATTATTTTTTTTTAAATAGATAAATATTCATTTTAATGTGTGACTATAATATTATATTATTTGCTCAAATTTTGAGTGAACTTTTGTAGATTTTCAGATTTAGTTAATTCTAGATTATTTTAGCAATTTGGTTGTGTTATATATCATGTATTATATTATAACATGTATATTTTTTAACTAAATGTTTTTTTTTTCATTTTTTAGTCATATTAGTTCTTAAATTTCTTTCATTTCAGTTTGTTGCTAGTTTTATTGTATCGTAATATTCAGTTGATTTTATTTTCATTTAGATTTTTTTTTATGGTTTAATTTAAACCTTTTGTTAATGTTAGTTTGTTTTTTGTTATGTTGTTAGTTTTTCTAACTTGTGTCTATAGTTTGTTGTATTTTTGCTTTATTCAGGTTTATTGCCAGAGTTTATACTCAGAGTTTATAATTGTCTTTTTTATTTTAGTTAGGGTTTTTATTAGATTTACACTACCGGTCAAAAGTTTGGGGTCAGTAGGATTTTAAAAATGTTTTAAAATAAGCTTCTCCTGCTCACAAAGGTTGCATTTATTCCATCAAAAATTGTGAAATGTTATTGCACTATAAAATAACTGTTCAGACCTAGTTTATGATTTAATTCAATAATTTGTTCCAGTGATTTTAAAGATGAATTTTCAGCTTTATTACTTTATTACTAATATTAATTATTATTATTATTATTATTATTATTAATGGTAAAAGTAATAAAAGCAACAATGATTGGAGTAATAATGTATTTTTAAACTACATACAATAGGAAAGCACTTATTTAACATTTTAATAAATATTTAACTTTTTTTTATTATTTATTAAATGCTGCCTTGATAAACATAAAAAAAAACTAACCCAAAACTTTGCACCAGTAGTGCATTTACCAATGCCAAACCTTGGAGCTTATCTCATAAGTTAGAAGTTTGATTATTTCCTCCATTTCTCCATTTGTGTTTTCAGTGGTCAGCAGTCTCAGCATCGGGAGTATTTTGTTCCTCCAGCTCCTCCTCCACCACCTCCACTCATTCCCTCAGCCCAGACTGCCTTTGACAGTCCCACAGGCCCCTCCTCTGCTCCGGCCAGTGCCATGCCTTCTCTGTCCCAGACCTATAGCCAGTCTCCTCCGACTCCTGCTCTCCCTGCTTCCTATACCCCTTCCCCAACCCATCCTCCTCCTGCAGCCCCTCCACCACCTCCACCCGGGCCACCCACACACCCTCACCCGCACCCCATGCCAGCTGCCTCTGTGGAAGCACCGGTTGTGCCCAGGAAGGGTCAGGTCCCTCTTATCCCGATGAGCGACGCTCGCAGCGACCTGCTGGCGGCCATCAGACGAGGTCAGAGAAAGACACATAGAAAGTCGGATTTGAGTGTTGGAATAGATCGAAAGAATAATGTGCCTTTTATTGTTGTTTCATGATTATGATAATGAGAATTGGTCACAAGGTAAGGTAAACATGTTATTTTATAATTGACCATTTGTATATAATATAATATAATATAATATAATATAATATAATATAATATAATATAATATAATATAATATAATATAATATAATATAATATAATATAATAACCAGTGAAGGGTTGCAGCTGGAAAGGCATCCGCTTTGTAAAACATATGCTGGAATAGTGGGCGGTTCATTCCACTGTGGCGACCACAGATAAATAAAGGGACTAAGACGAAAAGAAAATGAATTAATAAATGATATAATATAACATAACATAAAATAATTTGGCATCACGGTGGCGCAGTGGGTAGTACAATTGCCTCACAGCAAGAAGGACGCTGGTTCAAGCCCTGACTGGGTTCTCCTTGGGTTCATGTGGATTTCCTCCGCATGCTCTGGTGTCCCCCACAGTCCAAAGACGTGTGGTATAGGTGTATTGGGTAAAGCTAAATTCTCCCGTTGTGTATGTGTGTGCATGAGTGTGTATGGATGTTTCCCAATGACGGGTTGCAGCTGGAAGGGCATCTGCTACGTAAAACATATGCTGGATAACTTGGTGGTTCATTTTGCAGTGGCGACTCCAGATCAATAAAGGGACTAAGCCGAAAAGAAAATGAATGAATGAATAATATAATATAGCCACATGTTATTGATTTGTCCAAAAATGTGGCTATTCAGTTGTCTCCCTTCAATCATATTTTGCGGTTTAAAAAACTATAAGTCACTAGAAATCCAAAAGTTTCCTATTGGAAACACAATTACAATTCCCTTTTTAGTGTATTTTTTACAGCAAAATAAATAGAAACTCTGTTAACAATAATAGGATGTTTCGATCAATGTGTTGTTGCAGCTCTGTGGATAAACTTGAATCGTAAAACCAATAAAGACATTTATAAACAAGATTTCTATGGTAACCTTGAGCACGTAAAACAAACAAATTGTCCTTTCTTCATTTAGGGTCTTATATTTGTTTAAACCTGTATTATTTAAAGTAGTAATCTCAATGGCTCTTTAAAACAAATATCTAAAAAAATATCAGAAATGGCTCTTTGCTGAAAAAAAGGTTCCCGACTACTGATATAGTGCTTTCAATCATATGTGTGGGTTTTTTTCTAATGAATTGATACTTATATTTAGCAAAGGTGCATTTAGATTGACCAAAGAATCTTATGAGGGTATAAAATATATCTATTTAAACTAAATGGTGTTTCCTTTAATGTTTATTTATAATGAATCCTGAAAAAGCACAACTGGTTTTTCATTTTATAATGGGGAGACTTTTTTTCTTGAGTATGTTATAGTATATATTAAAGTTTATGCAGTGCTCAACATAAATGAGTACATTTTGAAAATGAATAGTTGTATCCATTTCTCAGTGAATATAACCAATATTAGTTGGTGAATTTAAAGAAAACTGTTTCATTAATCAGATATATTCATTGAAATTAGACATTGATTACCTAAAGCCTTTAGAAATAAAAATATAATAGATTTATGTTCAAACAAGCTAAAAATCGAAACAATCAAAAAAAAATATTGCTTAAAAGGGCTAATAATTTTGATCTCACAATGGTTTTAAAAAAAATTAAAAACTGCTTTTATTCTAGCCGAAATAAAACAAATAAGACTTTCTCCAGAAGAAAAAATATTATCAGACATACTGTGAAAATGTATGTGCTTGTTTAACATAATTTGGGAAATATATTTTTTTAAACAGGGGAAAAAATGCAAAAGGGGGCTAATAATTCTGACTTCAACTGTATATATATATATATATATATATATATATATATATATATATATATATATATATATATATATATATATATATACACATAGATAGATAGATAGATAGATAGATAGATAGATAGATAGATAGATAGATAGATAGATAGATAGATAGATAGATAGATAGGGAGGGAGGGATGGATAGTTTTGGCTTTGGTACTAATTAATCAAAGGTACAGTATATGCACAAATATATTATTTTACAGAGTCCTATACAAAATAATAATGTAAAAAGCGAGATCTGTGAGAGGTGTATGCATTTATGCTGAGCACTGTATGGTCTTTATTTATTTATTAAATCCAATCCATTGTTCCATTTTCAGCAAAATAAAATATACCTATTCTCTTAAAAAAAAGACTGCTCCTAAATGTTTAACATGTATGAAGGTGGACATTTAATTTTCAGGTCCATGCTTAAAAATAATTTACTGGTCATAAATACAATTTAGTACCATAAGATCACACTGCTAAACTAAAATATTGTAGATTCATTTCATATGAAAAATAATCAGGAAACTTTAAATCTCTGGTTCTCACATTCCTGTATTTTTGTTCCTGACAGGGATCCAGCTGCGTAAAGTGCAGGAACAGAGGGAACAGGAAGCGAAAAAGGAGCCAGTTGGAAATGACGTGGCCACTATATTATCACGTCGCATCGCGGTGGAGTACAGCGAATCTGATGAAGACTCTGAGCTGGACGAAAACGAATGGTCCGACTGAGACAACTAAAAACAGCATAGAGGAATAAAAAAAAAGAAGTAAGCGTTATACTGTAGGTTTCAGAGAACACAATTATCACAACTAATGTAGCATGCCGATGTCTGTCTGCACTAATAAAATATGGGGGGAAAAGGGCTGCGTAACCACAAACTTTCCCATTTTAGATCATACGTCTAAAATGGAAGCCTTGACAGTGAAGTTTAATGAGAGTTTTGACCCCATTGAACTACGTCTGTTAGAGATGGGCTCGTGTGCGCAGCTGAGACTATTCATCACTTTCTCACAGTGTGACGATCCTACCATCTGTCCTCTCTCAATAACCTTACAACACGACCTTATAATTATATGACCAGTCAGCTGGATGATCATGCAATGCCAATTTTAGTCAGAAACATATTTGAGGCAGATGTACTATACATTTTTTTATGTTCAAGACTACCGTTTTGACCTCTGGAATGCATGTTGTACCAAGCATCAAGCTGATTGTTGAAATTAAAATCGCTATAGCAATATTTCTGAGCGATTTAATAAGGCAGAGCACAAATTCACAGCTGATGTTTAGTTAGAATTTTGTCTAATGAAGTTATTCATGTTTATGTTAGTAAGATCCCAGCTGATTAAGGGAACGCTTTACCTGCTTTTGCAAATAGGCTAATTTTACAACTCGCCTAGAGTTATGTTTTAACCTTTTTAAATCCGTTCATCTGATCTCTGGGTGTATTGGGAGCAATTTTAGCTTAGCATAGATCATTGGATCGAATTAGACCCTTAGCATCTCACTCAAGAATGTTTTGATAATTTTTATTTTTAAAGCTTGACACTTCTGTACTTACATTGCATACTAGGCCAATATGACTAGAAACTATACTCTCTCAATCTCCATAATATCATTTCGCTCAAAGTCCCTTTAAGGCAAGTCATTTCACTTAGCAACCATCTTTAAAATGCCTTTCGAGCAGTATGCTTAGGCATGCTGTCTGAATGGGGAAACATCAAATTCTCCAAAAACTGTTAGCCAAGTTTATGATTACATTTACATATTTGGAATCAACAATAAAATAAAACAACAACTGTCTCGTGTCTGTTTCGTTTTTAAACGTTCAAATCAAACAAAATCAACATATTTTTAAGGATGCGCAAGCTAATGTGCACTCGAAACAAGATCACGACACCAACCTCCTTCATGACCGTTCTACACATCATCATCCTCATAATTAATGCTTCGCATGATAGTGCTGCTCTTCTGAAGTAATCTACAACTTGGTCTTGACAGCGAATCTCCTCCTGAAATGACAGCGACTCTTTGTTTACAAGTTTGTGGGCGTTTAAATAATTGCTGTCATGTGACGTGAGTTTGACAGGACAGACTGTACCTCGCGTTCGTTTCATACAGATAACAAAACCAGAAAACTTTTATTATCAAGTGCACTTGGTTTATATAAAAATACAGGTTTCAAGCTATATCTGGATATATTTCTTGTGTCTGTGAAGCAAGTATTCGCTTAGATTCCAGTCTGTTTGTTGACCAACAAACTGTCAAAAACGCAAACGTTTGTTGCGAGCTTCCCATGGAGAAATGTCAGTCTATAGCGATCGATGATTGGCTCCTGTACTAGTAGGCGGGGCTCCATTTGCCATATTGACCGTTAGACTTTTCCCTATTCAAAACTATACGTGTGACATCACTAGTCTTTATTGTGCCTGCTGCAGTCATAGTACAACTGCAAAGGTCCGAGATTATTAAGTCAGAATAAGTATAGTTCCTATTAATAGTCATTTTCGTTTTCTGTCTGTCTTAGTACACAATCCTAACTACAAAAGAGTCCACATAAAAACTACAAAAAGTGTTATAAAATTATCAAAACTCTTTGGTCATTATAGATTGAGATGCTAATGGTCTAATCCAGTGATTCTCAACCATGTTCGTGGAGGACCACCAGCACTGCATGTTTTGGATCTCTCCTTTGTCTGTCACACCCATCACAGGTCTTTCAGTCTCTGCTAATGAGCAGATGATCTGATTCAGGTGTGTTTGGTTAAGGTGACATGGAAAATGTGCAGAGCTGGTGGTCCCCTAAGAACATGGTTGAGAAACACTGGTCTAATCTGATTCAGTGATCTATGCTAAGCTAAGCTAAAAATGCTGCAAATATCAAAAATGGTAAAACTCTAGGGGAGTTGTAAAATGTGTTTCTTTAAACAACACAGGTGGACAATCTGAATCAAAAAATGAGTTTCTCTAAATATTTTAATTCTGTTCTGTATTTATATTGGGAGTATCTATTTTCTGGATCTAAAGAAAGATGGGAAGCTTTACATACATTATCTGAGATGCCATTTCCCCCAAATGTAATTAATTGAGAATTATTTAACCTGTTTGGATTGAAACTAGTTTTATGGCTTCGTTTGCTTTTTTCCTGGCTTCAAGTCAAGATTTTAAAGGACTTTATTGCTACATTGGTGTATTGTGAATCCACCAGTATTTTAAAGTCACAAATTGTGATTGCTGCTACTCGTCTGCAATTACTGGGAAATGCAACTGCAAATGACCTTAGACAGCAGCAGAACTGGCTCTTCTTCATCTATAGGCTCATTAATGCTTTGTTTTGAGGTTCAAGTGGTGCTGTGTTAGTAGTTATGGATTGTATCTTTAACCGTGTCAGGATTTCACTCTTTCCTTTTTTTCAAGGATTGGGAAACAAAAGAAACTTTTTTATTTTCTGTGTATTTTTGATTAGAAAAAGTGGCAGTCTGTCCGCTAAAGCATCAAATCATTCACTTGTCAGTCTCACTGTCGCCGCAGTGAACATCACTGCATTTCAAGCAGACCACAATGAAGATCGTTTGACCAGGTAATCCATAAACACAAACAGAAATGAACCGTGTCTTCTATAATGAATCAGCAGCTGGTTTGGAGTCATTTTGGGATTTTAGTTCCATTTGCTAGCGTTTTTATTTTGAATCATGTCGCATTTGCAATGCTAAATATGCTAATTTGTACAGAATAAGAGCACTTGAGTATTCCCGCTATTATTTTCTATTTATTTGCTTAAATGTGTCACTCACTGCACAAAGAGGGAGGCTAGTTTCAATGCTCCCGAATTAACAGCTTAACAGTCATGAGCTGTGTCGTTTAGCCTGTGTTTTGTATGTAAAGAATGAAGTCCTTTGTGTTTTAAACAATGTGATGTATAGAACTTTGTTAAAATGGCAGAACTTTGGTTTCTATAGATAAGAAACAGTATGAGAATCGGTGTAACAAAAAGAATTAATATATTGTAGGCAAATGCTGCATGCATGTACTGACTGCCATTAAAGTGCTTCTTAAAACAATCCTCGGCGTGGTTTCATTGAGTTTCATTTAATGGGTTAACTTGGATGATCTGTGCTTCTTAAAATGTATTCATATATTCTAATTCTGTTAATAATGATACATTTTATGTTGTTTAAAATTATTAAAAAACTATTTACTGGATAAAAGCTGATGGGTTGAGGAATAAAATGTATTACATTTACAGTTGTTTAGTGTTTGGCTGTAAGGCGGCGCGAACGGGTGGCTCAGTGGTTGGCACTGTCGCCTCACAGCAAAAAGGTCGCTGGTTTGAGTCCTGGGTGGGCCAGTTGCCATCTCTGTGTGGAGTTTGCATGTTCTCCCTGTGTTCGTGTGAGTTTTCTCTTTCCTCCGAGTGCTCTGGTTTCTCCTACAGTCCAGAGACATGTGCTATTGGTGAATCGGTAAGCGAAATTGGTCGTAGTGTATGAGTTTGTGTGTATGAATGCAAGACACATGGGCATCCAGTGTGTAAAGCATGTGCCAGAATAGTGGGCGGTTCATTCCGCTGTGGCAACCCCTGATAAATTAGGGACTAAGCTGAAGGAAAATTAATGAATGCCTTTTTGGCTGCACTGTGATCCCTATATACTGTATAAGAAAAAACATCCCATTTAGTTGAAGTTTTGTTGCTTGTTTAAATGTATTATCTTTCTATTCCTATATGTTGGGTGACCAAACTCCTATTTTAAATGGATATAACTGTTTTATAAAACAGTTCAAAATGCACCAAAATATATTCGCTATATATGTTGTGTTATTTATTTAGCTCCAAACATGTTGTAGAGTACAGGGAGGAAATATTTGGGTTTGCACACCCTGATTTGTAATGTGGTCAGGTATGGATTATTTTCTAATAATTCAATGGAACATGGTCAGTTATTCTGCTTACACCATGTTTACCACACCTAATGAAATAGTTTAGACATTGTATATCAAGACTTTTGTCAGGTTGTTGTCCTCAAACAGCTCCCGTCTTTAGTACTAGTTTGTTACACGTTCATCAGTAGTAGTTATACAAAACTGCAATGTGATTAGACAAGCCTGGAACTGCTTAAGCTGTGTGTTTATCTGAAAATAGTCACACAGCTTACAATGTTCTTCTGCTAGTTGTATAGCACTGATCTAAAAGGTAAATTCTGTTTTCTCATCAGAACTAATGTCAAATCCCTGAGTATTTCAGTAGTATCTGGATGCAGCCTTTATGATGCAAGCTAAGATTGCATCACTCATCACACAATGCACTCAATGGAGTGAGTGATGAGTAGGGTTAGGGATGGGGTTAGGTGAGCGCATTAAAAAGCAATTGATGCAGCTCAGATCGCACTGCACCAGGTCTGCATCCAGACCCCTCGAGTATTAAGTTTTTTCTTGTAATAACTTTTCTTATTTTTTCCTCTAACCTCTTGTTTACTTCATCTGTTTGACAGCACACATGCTGCAAATCCTCACTACACAAACAAAAATGGTTTAAAACGCACTGCATTTTCTCACAGCGCAAACAAATCAATAAAACATGCTGCAGTTTCTCAAAACGCAAACATTTTATGAAAACGCTCTGCATATTTTCACAACACTTTAAAACAGCATAGAACACAAATGGTTTCAAGGGGACCCTAAAATGTGACGGACCCAGCTATTTAGGTTATGGTTATTTATGCTAATAAAATACATAAGACAAGGAAATCAGGATGTTAAAATAAACAAACCAAAAACTCACCTTTTCTAAGGACTTCACTTAGCAATAGTCACGACCCAACAGCATCCATCACGTTTTTGGAGTCACTTAAAACATTTGTGTTGTGTTTCGTGCTATTTGAAGGTGTAAGAAAATGCAGCGCGCTTTAGTTTGTTTTGTTTTTATTTGCCGACGTTTTTCGTAATTGTACGTGTTATCTTGAATTACAGCATGTAAAGCTTTCTCGACCATCGTACTTGTTTACGTATGTGCACTGAGGTTTATTATTTGACCTGTTATTTGGTATATTGGTGCTATTACTGAAATGGAAATCCACTCCAGTAATGATTATGAAATATTATGTTTTTAGACAAGTTTGATCTTAATACAGGGTATCCGCTGTCTTAAAAGGTTTTCAAAAATTACATTTTAATATTGAACCACCACTGAAATACTGTTTTGTAGGTTTTAAATCATTTTAAACATGTCTTAATTGTCCTATGTCCATGTAAAGCTACTCAATCAAGTTAACATCCATCCAATTACTAACTTTCCAACTGAGTTAAAGTTTTAACAAAAGTTTATTAATTAACTTTTATGTGGTTTAATTATCTTCCTTACAATGACATTTGTTTTTAAGGTTATTTAAGGTTTTAACTGGGCCATTAGGAAAAAAATCCTTCGTGCTTAGCCTTGTGTAAGTCTGAAATTTCACTGTTAGTGTTTTTAAAAAGGTCTTAATCTCACAGCCTGTCCATTCTTTCCTAAAACT